TTCCAATTATTTTAGCTGTTACATTTAATTATTTGGGTTAAATACTTCTGTACTGAAAAAAAAAATCAGCTGAACAAGAACAGTCTAAATGAGAACAAGAATTAGACACTTTAATGTACACTGTATGTTGTAGAGACTCATTCTTTCAGTTCAGCTATAAACATAGTTGTTAAGAAAACATGAGCTGGCATCAGTTGCAAATTCAAAAGTGTGCAAGCCATTAATATATTTAGTGTATTATGTGTAAATATAACAAATGTCACAAACCACACATCATGATAAAATACATTGAGTATTAGCACCTGCCATTCATATGTCATTCAACTTTAAACGAGTAACCTAAGATAAAATAGACATATCAGTTTAAATTAACTTTAAAGACATCAAAACTTCAAATGGCAGGAAAAAATATTTATAACACAAAGCAATTTTTTTTTTCTCTTACGTTACAATTGCCCCAAATCGTCCCTTTTCACAAAGATGAAAACCTTGAAAAAAGTAAAAAAGATCCTAAAAGTGCTGCTCAAGTACTAAATCTTAACATGTCAACGCAGACAGGATCCAAAATAGAATTAATTATTGTGAAGAAAAATCCCCCATCGCACGTTTGCACAGTTAGTGGTTTCTGCATAAACCTTTGCACATGTTAGCCTAACAAGCCAAAATGTTATTTTAGACATCACACATGATGTTTCGGATTAAGTACTTCATGTTTTAGATGAAGTACATACGAGAAGGACTGTCAAGAGCCTTTCTAAAGCACGATCCTGCTATCATCAAATGGAAACACGCTGTTTTTTTTTTTTCTGCTTACATTTCTCTCTCACACACACACCATCAACAGGCAATTCAAGTAACATTTATGGTTCTCTTATCTGTTGCCAACTCAAGTCAAGTGACCATCGGCATCTTAGATTAATCTATTTTTTAAACTAGAGAAGGTAAGACCTTTGGAAACCTGAACCATATTCCAGAGAGCAAGAGTGAGTGTTTAACTGCTTTAGTAAATTAAAAATCTACAAGACACTTCATTTTCCAAATTGTCTGTAAGAGCATTCAGGGCCTTTTATTTGAGAAGCAACTTTAACGATCAACCAAACATGATAACACTTCTGTAAACAGAAAAAAAGCAGAAAGAAAGAAAAGACAGAGCAAATTAGATTGGATTTTAATACCTTGACCTCAACAGGATTGCACAATGAGATTAATAACCAATATACAGATTTCTCATGACTGATATAAAATTTGATTTATTCTATCTCTCATGGTACATTCTATTTTAAACAATCATTAACTTCATATTTTAAATAAAGACTGAATGAAATTAAGCCTTTTCTTTAAAATAAAAATCAAGCTCTCTCTTTCTGTAATATTCATTTGAACAGAAAACAAAATAAAGATTTCAAGCTAACATGATTGAGCGTAATAATATTGCACATGAAAAGTGATATGATTCTGATCAAATCTGCAGCCTTTTCATAAGGTGAGTTAAGTCTCACAGTTGTGCCGATAAAACACAGTCCGTTCCACAAGTACAATAAATTACAGCCAATTAGTACTTTATTCCCACAATGCATCTGCACTATCCAGAATCATATCACGTTAATGCACACTTATTTGGTTGCATATTGTTAATAAGAAACCTTTTACAAGTTGCTCTGGGATATAAGAAGAAGCAAACTGTTAGATGTGATATGCTAGGAGGTCTCACCTCGTGCAACGTGACAGTGAAAATGACATCACCGTCATCTGTATACCTCTGTCGGTCAGCCACCAGCAGAATTCAGAATGTAACTCAGGTCAGAAGAGAATTTTAGATTCAGAGCTTGAACTAAGAGCCTGTATCACTTATAGCATTCAAAATGTCCCTTGAAATTGTTAAATAGTACCAATAGTCTTTAAATAATTCTGCATAGAAAAATAAATTAAATATGAAGTTAAACTACGAATTGACAGGTGACAGTGGTCATCAATGTTTTTTTTGTTTTTTTTTTCTTTTTTGATTTTCCCGTATTTTTCTTGAATCCACTATGTTTTTCTTGATGAGACTGTTGAAATAAATTGTCGACTGTTGTAATTTACACAACTGCCCCACAAATACAAACAATGTTGACTTACAAAATAAATCCAGATACGCTTACATGGCAAGCAGCTGTTTAGTTTCTCTTGAGTTCATGAATGACCTGTCATGTGCCATAACCAAACACTTCAAGAAGAATCACATTTCAATAGAACGATATCAAATGGCTCTTTACAGGTAATTGGGATAATCCAAAATGTATGGATGTTGGCTGCCAGTACCTTCATATATAATCAAATCCAAGAGTTTCAAGTCCCCAAAAGTGGCAAAATATAATCCAAGAGAGGGGAGTCTGGGGTATTCCACCACTTTCAAGCATTTGCCAACTTCCATTTCTTCCACTCCATTTGATATTGTCATCCCAAGATGCCTAAAAATACTTCCAACCAAACACAATGAAGAAGGGTCAATATGAAGTACACTCAACACTGTTTCATGACCCAATCATTTGGTAAAAAAAAAAGTTCAGTGGAATTTGATGGAATTCATAATCAATAGCCGCAAACTACGACTGTTTTTAAGGATACTGACTGATGTGATTCTTAACTCTTAATGGCATCACAACATAACAATTGTATGCAATTTTAACACAGCCAATGATGCTAAGGGAGTTACGTTTTGTGTAATGAAACATGTCCGGTATTCCATTGGTCATTAAGATTTGTCTTAAGGCACTTTTGTCATTACGGGGCAGGTGAAGATGATGTTCTAGAATTTACTAAGGGCTGTCTGTTCCTCTAATACTTGAAGGTAGTCTGGGATCCCCATTTTTGCCTTTAGTTCATAATAATCACTTTTACGCTGCTCAATCACTATCTTACTGTGGTTGCCCCCTATCAATGATTTTTTCATTTTTTTGTCATGTGGTTTCTCAGGGTAACGGATCTCAAAGCCACTCACCCCTATACTGTTGAAATCCTTTTTGCTCTCCAAGTAGTTGTGGAGGAACATGCTGTCTCGTCTCGGTAAGAACTCGTCCAGCTCGTCAATGGTGCTTAATCTGTTCATGGGGTCCAGGGGTAGAGAGTCCTTTTCTTTGTCGGCACTGTTGCATAACATCATTTTCTGTCTCTCTGAATCTACAAATTTGAAGCCTGACTCTGAGTCTCTAATTCCACATGTGTGAGCGTTGCTCATGTGCTCGATGGTCTGCGGGATGAAGGTCTCTCCACCCAGGTCGTCCTTCTTGTTAGATTTGTGATTGTGCCTCCTGATCTGGAGAGGCATGGAGCCGCACTCCTGGTTGCCGAGTCCCTCCTGTCTTCCCGCTGGCTTTTTGTTCCGTCTCAACACAAAGACCAGCAGGCAGAAGGCCACAAAGACAGTGAGGATCAGAACTACCAGTATACTCAATATCATAATAGACAAGGGCACAGGACCACTGGGAGGTGCCTTGCCAACTCCAGCCGGTGACAGCGATGTGAGGACAGGGGTGGCGCTGGTCAGGATGAAAGGAGGCCTGGCTATGAGCTTCGGGCACATGATCTCATTTTTCAGCTCTCTCAGCTCAATGTTGGAGAATTGCACTGGAGACACACACTTGACCCCTTTGGCCGCGACCCCTTCATTCAGCTTTTCAAGCCAGAGTTTCAAAGCCACTAAATCGCAAGAGCATTCCCAAGGGTTGCCATCTAGGTCTATCTGAGTGAGAGATTTGAGCTGGTCTAGGACGCCACTCACAGGCAGAGTCATGAAGTGGTTGTTCTTTAGATTCAATCTGGCAAGAGAAACGCCTGCAAAGATGTAAGCAGGCAGGCTTCTGAGCACATTGTTATTTAGATACAAGAGCTGCAAATTTGGCATGGAATCAAATGTCCCTGCTAGCACCTCCTTTATGGCATTGTACTCCAAATACAGATATTGGACGTTACTAAGCCCAAGAAACATTTCAGGGTGCAGCTGCTCCAGCTGATTTCCATTTAGGTATAGCCTACGGAGGTTGGTAAGATTTGCGAAAACACCTTTTTGGACGGTGGATATTTGATTGCTGCCCAAATGTAATAAATCTAAACCTTCAAACCCTTGGAAGTCAGTGGGACTGATATCTCTGATGTAATTACCACTAAGGTGCAATTTCTTGGCATTTGGCGGTTTAGGTACAAGATCTGCTAGACTCTGAATGTTTCTTTCTTGACAGCTGACACTAATGCCAAAGTCAGAAGGGTGCGCTTTGCATGTGCAGGGCTGGGGGCAGGAGAGGGGAGGGCTTCGCGTTTGATAGGACACGATTTGGCCATTTTTAACTGCGACAATCCCATTGACATATATTTTGGAGGGATTGGTAGTTTTGGGTGCTTTGGTCACTAAAGGTGCAATGGTTGAAGGTGCCACGTTAGACATGGTTAGCCCACCCTCAGGCTGGGAGGGGGGCATCCGTACATCAAAGTCACTGCCTGTCCCCATGGGGCACAGCTCCTGCTTATTCGTCTCCTTTAAGAGTCTGCCATACAGGTCACTAGGGGTCTCACAAATAGCCTCTCCAATGAAAATGTTATAGGGCATATTCTCCAACCAGGCTTTCAAAGGCAACAAATCACAAGTGCAATTCCATGGGTTGTCATCCAACTGCAATTCTACTATCCGCCCAATGTGCTCCAGAACTCCAAGATAAGGAAGCTTCTGTATCCTGTTCCCTCTTATGTCCAAGTGAGTAAGGGAGGCGAATCGGAAAATGTTCTCAGGTAGGCTTTGAATCAGATTGTCATTTAAAATGAGAACCTTCAGTTTATGTAATTTGTTGAAGGCTCCTTTCTCAATGAACTTGATTAAATTGTAGTCAGCCTGGAGGTATTCCAAGTTCTCGATCCCTCGGAATGTGTCGGCACGGAGTTCTTTTAACTCATTGTTATTTAAGTGCAACTGTTTCAATGCACTAAGCCCCACAAAGGCCCCTCCCTCAATGTTCTGGAGTTTGTTGTTCCCCAGCTGGAGTGAGACTGCGTGTGTGAAATTCACAAAAGAGTTGGGGTAAAGGATGTACAAAAGGTTGTTCTGGAAATTCAAATGGTAGAGGCTGGACTCTGGCGGCTGCAGCTGTGTAGGTCTGTACACAGTTATTTTCTCACAGTTCACATAGAGGACGTTCTCGATGGACATGCAGGAGCAAGCGCTGCAGGTTTCAGCTCTGAGGTCCGAATCTGAGTCACAAAATGTACCCGATATGGAAAAGGCCAACAGAACAAGCAGCAGCATTTTGCCTTTTACAAATCCCCCAGTAAACCATTTAGTAACCTTAGAGGGGGGAAAAACAAACAAACAATCAAAACACATGCCTGTTTCCCATTGAGTCACACAGCTAATGCCAAGATTTTACAGCAGGGGTGTTTAAAAAGCCCTCTGCGCACACAAAGAACTTGGAAAAACCTGTTATGTGCCTTTTGGATTCAAGCATAATATCTGAGACTACACTGAACATAAATGTATCTGTATTTACCAGCACCACAATGATACAAAAATATAATTTTAATACACTGACGTATTGTGACTAACACCGCAATTAATGTATGCATCAGCGTATTTCTAAATACAGTGCAAAGAAATTATGACCTTTGGATTCTCAAGCTTTGCCAACAAATAACTGAATATATATAAAAAAGATAAGAATTCAACACTCACCGGCAATGTTAATATTTCCTCCTTTTCAGAAAGCACCGGACACTGGGAGCGCCAAGAGAGGGACTATTTCCATTCAGTCAGGTTCAGATTTCAGTCTCAGCCTCTCTCGTCAGGCTCCACTTGTACAAAACATATATTGTGTCATAAAATCCCAAGGTTACTGAGCTCTTTTGAGGCATCTCAAACACGACGCATCGTATTTGAACTGAAAAATTAATTCGTTTCAAAACCAAAATTAAAATGATGAAATAGCAAGTGGTGAAATTGGATGCAAAACAAGTCCAACATTCTTCCGTTAAAAGAACTGAACATCAGTTTAGACGCAATTTGAACTGACGGTTCGCTCAACAGTTCAGGAAAAACAACTGATACAAATCTTAATAAATTAATCGCAACGATCCATCGCGCGTCGCGGCTCAACCCGATTATCGAAAATCGGAAATCGACTCCAGTTGATTACTGCCGTTTCTTGGGATTATGCAAGTTGCGAGATAAAAGAAAAAGAAACTACTGCGCCCTGATGTCAGACCGACGAGAAAATTAATAATTCAGATGAGTAAAATACGCTCGAAAAAGAGATGCCACCCTATACCACATCATCAAAATAAGCATTGTTGGTGCAGTCCTCGTCCGAATAATGAGACCAGTCTTATAAACCAACTATTCCACCTCGTCTTCTTCTAAGTATGTTGGTTTTGTTGCTGCATTGAGCTTCCCACACGGTGAAGCGGGTGGAGAGAAAATGCAGAGATGCAGAGAGAGAGAGAGAGAGAGAGAGAGAGAGACAGAGGGAGAAAGCGAGGAAAGCGTGCGAGGGGAGGGGGGGGTTAACAGGGCGAAAATATTAAGGAACAAAATTCAACTTCAGACACCCCTTAAACACTCACTAGTGAACATTATAGCATTATAGAACATTATAGAACATTAGAACATTAGCTCTGCCAGTGTGTTTCGTTGAGGGATTTCTGGAAATGGTGACCCGTAATCTTTAGTTGGAACCTGGCCAGTTCATTGCGCGCGTAACAGATTTCCTGACAGCAGCGCGTATTTTTACAATTATTTCTTTTATTTATTTGCTCTTCATTTTACAATATTTATATTACTCGCGCGCGTGCGTGAGTGTGTTAGAAAGACGGAGAGAGCGAGAGAAGGGAGGGCGAATATCGAACATATTGAAGAACAACATTTAACTTCAAATATCTCTGAACCACTCAATAGTGAACACTACAGAGCTCTCTTTCTCATGTGTTTTTCGTTGAGGGATCTCTGGAAATGGTGACGCGTAATCTTTAGTTGGATCACGGCCAGTTTGTACGCGCCCGGTTGCCTGGCAGCAGCAGGAGGATTTAACGCGTGGGATTCTTTATTTTCTTTATTTTACAATTCTAAGATTGCGTGGCTACACGGCACCGCATTCAGAAACTGCGGCAAAGTCACACACAGTGGCTTGAGCTGTTGCACGCGCTCTGCAGGCACAGCAATACATCTTTATAGTTTGACAGTTCGCCAGGGATGGTGATTCATTCTTGATAGACAACAGGTGCACCGTTTTATCGACTTCTTGTCTTTCCAATAACCTGAACATTGATTTGTGCTCATGCATGTGTTTAATTGACTTTATGCCGTGCATGATCCGCAATTGGGAGCAGTTATGATTAAACCTTTAGATTATTAAGATGTAATAGGAAAATAGCGGACACAGATGAAGTGTCCGTGTCTGTTGTGTCCACATGGATCTGCAGTGGGTTAATGTTGAACCAAGAAAAAAAAAAAGATCAAACACGGCGCCCTCATCTGGCAGAAATAAGTGAGATTTAGCTCATAAAATGGATTGAATTCCAAGCTGTTGTTTTTTTTTTTGTTTGTTTTTATATGTTTAGATTTGCTTTATATTTAATCCATGGTGTGCATGATGGGATATAGGGGAAATGGGGTGAGCTGGTAAAAGGTGAGGTTGTCACCGTCTGTCTCAGAAACTGATTTCAGTCAAAAATCCAATTGAATAAATGTGTTTTTCTCTCTGGTAATAAACTGTAGAATAGTTTAAAAAATATATAATACCAACTAAAATTCATACTTTATGTTGAGGATATGTGAACACACTAATGATTAACTTAATAATGTAACAAAATAATTTAACTAAAACAAGGACAAGCATTCACATTGTGGCCCACTGGGCTTGGATCCAAAAAAAAAAAAGAACACGGCAATTGTGCGTATTGTTCAACCGTGGTCCTTCAATATTGTAAAGCCTGGTGAATCGCTGAAAATAAGACATTATGAGGTCATGTGATGTGATCTGTTCTGATTCTGTGTGCTGGAAGCCGTCGCTTCAGACATTCATTTACTGTATACAAGAAAAGAGAATTTTCAAAAGTTATAATTTTCTTATAAAAACTGTGGTTTATTGCATGGCACACACACACATGGCTGTCCAAATGGTAGACACACATTCCATAATGTTTGTGCAAGATTGATTAAACATTTCAAACCGTGATTGTCTTTATAATAATAATAAAAAATGGGTCAGTGAGATTTTTTAATGCTTTTAGTCATGTGTGTGTGTGTGTGTGTGTGTGTGTGTATATATATATATATATATATAATGAATGATAAAATGTGAAATAATGATGAATTGTTTTTTCAGGATTTTGTGAATAGAAAGTTCAAAAGAACAACAATATTTATTTTAAACAGAAATCATTTACAACATTATAAATGTCTTTATTGTCACTACTAATCAGTTTAATGTGTCCTTTCTATTACTTTCAATAAATAAATAAATAAAAGCACACTAACCCCAAACCTTTACAATAAAATCGTTTACATTTAGACAGAAAAATAAGTATTTCATGTCGATTGAAAAATGGCATTATTAAAAAAAAAAAAAATGATATTAAGATTTTTCTTTTATTAATGATATTAAGATTTAATAATTCATGCTTCAGACAGTTCTGAGCACCTCTGAGCGTTTTGCGGATTAGCATTTTCAGGAAACAGATTAAATCATTTGAAATTTGGCTAAAACTCTATCACGTATTAAGACAGGAAATGGTATGCATGAAATAGGTTGACACATCCGCCTAGAGGGACGACAACTAGAGAAAGAAAAACTTGAGCAGACAGACAGCAATCCTGCAATATGATGCTCAGTGGGAGCTGTGGGGACATGTTTATCATGGCCAGAGCCTCTAGAAGTTTAAGAAGTGATGCTCCTATGTGGTGCTTTGCTGCATGAGTTCTCCCACAGCTCGGAGTCAGATTTACTCAGCTGTCAATTTCATTTGTGAGCCACTGTGGCTTAATATGCTTCCAAAGAATTCAACTGGAAAGAGGAAGACAGCCACATGAGCGGTTTGTTTGTGCTGTTATGATAGTTGACCAGGCATGACAAGGGATGACTCTAATTCGATTTTTTTCATTAATATATTCATTAATATACTTCAACAGCAAAAATAAACAAATGATGATAATAAAAAGTGATTATATCCATGAATAGGCTATTGAGGCCCATGTGCCTGCCTGGGCAGCTGGGTGAAGCAGTCGGCCTCAGGTAATCTCCTCTATCTCTGTGGAGGAGGGCAGCTTGGCATTTTGAAACTCTGGCAATTTTTTCCTTATACAATAAATGTATCGTAAACGAAAGGTCAGCCTTTCACCGGTTATCACTTTGACTTTTTGACGTTTCTCTCCACCCCCTTAGTAAATATCAAACTGTTTCTTCACACAGGGCCTGTGTTTATTTTAAATAGGGGCAGATATTGGCTCAGCATTCATGCTGTATTAGTAACTTTTTACCCAGCATTAATGTGACCTAAGTTTGAAAATACTTCAATAACATCTTTTAGCACCATTGTAGCATTTGTTTGTATCGCTGAAATATACGACACCAGTAAATAATGAAACCTGTTAAATGGATGATTTAGAGAAAACATGTTAATTAGTTTTGCATTTAGACCTTGAGTCAAAATTCTGAATCATATGAGGATTGATAGCAACTTTGACCAACACATATATTCCAATATTTAAAAAAACGTCCAGATGAAACATACTGCATAATACATATCCCCCTGGTTTCACAGACAAGGCTTAAGCCTAGTCCTACACTAAAATGTAAATCTGAGCTGTTTCAACTGAAAGAAACTTGCACTGACTGATATTAAAATATAGCAGTGCCTTTGTTCTGTCTCAAAAAAGCACACCAGTAATATTTTTTTCTAAGCATGTTTATAAAAATTACTTAAATGTCCTAATTTACATATGGCCTAATCCTGGCTTAGTCTAAACCCTGTCTGTGAATCCAGGCCATAGTGTCTGGGACTACAGTGATTTCTCCCTTTTTTCTTCTCCATCTTCACTATATATATATATATATATATATATATAAGAAATCATTAAAAGTTAGGTTTTTATAATTTAATTAAAATAAATTGATTTACTAGGCCCTGAATTACGTTTAAACCTAAACGTATCATATTAAAAATCTAATTGTCTGAACCCTATATGTATTTCAGGAAGTGCTTAAAAGCAACTTTTTAACTTTCGTACTGTTGGGTGGTACAGTAAACTAAACTTGATTTTAGTCGACATGGTGTTAAAATATATCTTCAATCTGCTTAAGTTTTGCAATCCTTACAGTTTAAACTGTACCAAAGTTTAATTTGGCTTTTAAGTTAGAACTGTGCCTATAGCTTAAAGTGTTTAACTACCTTTAAGATGACAAAAATATTGAGTATTAAAACATAGTTGGTAAAGATAAAGATTATTTAAAAGACTGCAGAATACTAATTATTTATGTAATAATTATAAGTTGTAGTTGTAAAATATTCCCAGATACCACTTGATCTGAACTCCACCTTCTTAAGGACAAGACAGAACAACAACAAAGCCCATGCAAATAATATGCCTCTATACAGACACGAAGAATTATACTATAGTAACCCAAGTGTTCAATGACAGAGTTCACAACAATTCCATTTGCTATTTAGCATCAATAAAATAAATAGTTGACATGCATAACTAATGAGGGCATTATTTTGGCCTGGAGAAAAAATAAAAAAAATAAAAAAGGGCAGTTGATTTGTTCACATGTATATTGCAGATGCTAGTTTTGGTTTCAATAACATATATAACCTTTTCTGGGTAGATGCTCCATCATTCACATCACTGCCATCCACAATCTGCAGGTTCAGCCTCCATTTCTATTTTCTGAGAATTTCTGGATTCATTACCTTTTCATGGGATAACTGCCTCTCTGTGGGACACAAACATAAATAGCACAATTATCAGCAAAGATATTAACAAAACTGACTGCCATAGGTTAACCATATTTTCAAAACTCCAAAGTCAGATCCTTTAGTGTACTGTACCTTTATGCAATATGCACATGTATGTGCTTAAGCACCCACCATATGCATTTCACTGACATGTCAATGTACTTGGTGCAATATAACCAAGTACTGTACTGTATGAATTCAAGGTGCTTGCATTTTTTAGTAATTCCATTGTGTACAGCTTTATAGTTCTAATCTAGACTAGACTACATCTCAGAGAAAAAAAATATTATAATTTTCCTCCAATACTTTTGTCAGACAGCTTTAATTAATTCTCAAATGTTGCATTGCTTATCCAGTGAAAACAATTAGCTTACAGTATCGCTATACAGATTAATCTACCCAATTGTATATAGTTAAAATTAACTTTAACATGAGCAAATTGCAAAACACATCAATACAGCTGTA